TGAATGAAAATATTTGGGAATAAAAATTCTCACTTGGAGTGAGGAGTGAGTGGAGTCCATTTGATTTCATGCCAGGAAATATGTGAAATATTGAATATTGAGTAAACATGGTTGGAAATAAAATGGATAAAATCTTCATTTAGTGCTTTTTCATAGTCAAATGTTGACACAGGAGTTTTACTAGAGATAAAGACTGTATTTCATATTTTTATTTTGTGCTCCTGTTTTTTGGTTCAATTCAAACATTTTCATCCCAAAACATCCATTCCTCTGTACCCGTGTTGTAGTATTTTTGACAAATTAGCAGTGATGGAAGGTTGCTAAGTACGTTCACTCATGTTCTATACTTCTGTAAATTATGTACTTTACTTATACACAGTAGCCTGTCTAGTATTTCCATTTTATAGTACTACATTTCAGATGGAGGTATTGTACTTTTCACTTCTCTATAGTTATTTGACAGCTTACTTTCCGATTAAGACTTATGAAAAGCTTGTAAAATATAATACATCATTAAAGATAAAACCAATGTTTTCCAACCTTTGGCTTGTGGCCCCTGACAAAAAAAGCAGTTTCTAGTTGGGGCCCTTGTCTATGGGTTGTTAGCAGTTTCACCAAATTCACCGATTTACCCTCTAAACTTCTCAGATAGTTTCAAGGTCCAAATGTGTCAAAGTCTATATAATAAAAGAAAGAATACATTGTCCAAAAATGAAAAGTATAGCAGAACTTCATTAGTTTTTCATCTTTCTTATCCCACTTAATATCCCAGGATTTGTCAGTTATCTTTGGAGGGGATCCAACTACTAAGTTTGGAACCACTGGACTAAAATAACTGTATATAAAATAGTTAAAATTAGCTCCACCTCAACCAGCTACAACAGTAAAACACTGCTTATACATTGATGCATTGGTATTAACAATGTAATAATGCCATATATAATAATGGATCAGTTATATCATGTATCAGTTACAGGTGCCATAATGCAGAACAAGTGTTTCAATTTTGCTTATTATACTTACATACTGTATTTGTAATCGAGTATTTTTGCATGAATGGGAAATTTTTACATTAAGCAAACATCCAGTTTGAAATAGGTTGTCACTGTCGAGACATGGAGTGCTGCAGAGACAATTTAGTTTCAGGCATGGCTCTGGGACATTTTGGATTGCTATTCACACATTGCTTGACATCCAAACAGACCTTTTCATCACATCTCCAAAGCTTTGTGTCAGAATCTGTGACAAATAATGTGAAAAATTCTGACTTGGACAACTAGACTCTCATAACCTAGCCTCATAACATGCTGTATGAAAACATCAGAGAGTGATGAAACTTGGCAGGAACACAGTTCAGCTTGTATTGAGTGTGATCGCCCCCCTCTGGTTAGTAGCGTGAACTGCCTGTGGCTCCTAGGTTGTGGTGGCTGAGAGAATTGAGTAAGGTCATGAATTGGACACGGTGCCAAACGCCCCTTATTCCCACTGGAGGAGCAGATGGCAGCTCCCCAGTGCACAAGGGAGGGAGATACTACCACCAGACGCTCCAAGCAGGGTGTAAAGACACACACAAACACAGACGCATCAACGTTCTGCTGTGCACTCATTTTTGAGCACACCATTCTCTATGAGTACTGTACACTGCACCGAGCCAATGAATGCGTAAGCTTGACCTAAATTCTTTTATTTTTCTTCTCTGAGGGTCATAATGTGTGTCGACCGCTATTATTATACTTTGCAGTGAGACTGTAACAGATTTGTCAGTGGTTACACATGATGCATATTAGCTGCCATGCTTGATTGTCACATACCTCTTGTTGCCCTGTTTAATGAAAACCATATTACAGGCATTTAGAGGCAACATGATTAGCTAAAGCTTCCATATTATGGCAGCTCTAACATTTCTATTGAGAGGGTAACATTTTGAAAAAGCTGCTGCCTGTCTGCCCAGTGGACACACTGAACCTTGCATCCTTTCTGTTATTTGAGACTGAGTGGCCAATAGCTTGAGCTTTATAGGAATATAGTAACATTACTATAAAGCACTGTTAACATTTTTGGTTACATCTCAAACTGTGTCCGGGAACTTCATTGTAGATCAAAAATACATGTGAGTAATTTATACTGTATGAATAATTTGAATAGTCTTTTAACAGAAACTGATTGATTCACTGTAACAAAATCAAGGGGTGTGAATCAGCGCCTTCATTTCTTAACTAGTGTTTTATTAAAGCCAGTGCACTTAATAACATAAAAAATATAATTTATAAGATAAATGTTCAGTACGTTTTCTGTTAGAAATCTCTATGTCCAGTAAAATAAAAGTCACACACATGACTCATTTGTTTTATACCTCATCTACTTTTAGAGTAGACTGTAGATTATCTACATTAACAACATTTTCCAATTGTGCTAAAGTGTTCAAAACTTTTGACTGGCAGTGTACAGTTTACAATCCTACCTCCTTTAATAATGCGACTATCACTGTCATTTTGAGCCGCACTGGTTGACACATTGAGGAGGGTATGCTAAGCTTAGCTGAGTGGCGTGTCACGGCAGGATATGAGGCAGTTAGCTAATGTGGTGTAAAAGGATTTAGAGGATTTGACCCTATCAGCAGAGATGGCACTCTGAGAAGGCTGTGTTAATGACACTAAATGAGCCTGTGCCTGCAGCATGCTAATAATGGTGGCATGAAAGCCAAGCTTATTATTTATATGGAGATTTTTTGCAAATAGCTAATTGCCAAAAGTGTGTGCGTGCACCTATTATGTAAAGGCAAGGTAACACACAATACATATCAGTGCCTTCTCTGAAGCAGTGAATCATAATCAGCTACAATGTGAGTTGATTATGAATTAAGTGTAATCTTGTAAGGGAACTGCTTTTCAATGTCCCATCCCTTATTGTCTCTCTAGCAGTGCACTGCAACTTGCAATTATCTCATTTGTTCCAGGTTTCTAGCTCTCTGAGGGTGAGCACTGAGATTTAAAGTGAACTTCCATTCCTACAGCTTGCTGACGAACAGTCTATTTTGTAGATTCAAATGGCCTTGTCACGGGAGTACGAAGGAGACTTTTCCTTTGAGATATTACCAGGCTATGAGATGTGGGGGACAATATTAGATTTTCAACTTTTAGAAATGAAAGCCATTGACTGCAAGGTTCAGACAGTTCAAGTAACCTGCATGTAGAGGTATTTAAATCATCTTTCTGGTATTTTTGCAACAAGAGCACATGGCCAAAATCAAAGTAAGGAAATCATGGTTAGACTGGTTAGACTGCTGGCCCACAGGACGCCCAATAGCAGACGGTACAAGTCAGAATTTTTTTTTCAAGCCAATGTAAATTTAATATGCCGCGTGCTATCATCACACTACAGTTACTTTTTATTAGTCTTGGAGAGGAATTTGATAGAACATTGTGGTATAACAATATTAAATATCCAAGGAATGATCTGAATATTCAACATCAGAGTAATGGGGTTGATTTAAACATGTCATTCAGCTGCAGCTGCCAAGTCTAAGTGACAGATGGATTCAGGAAATATTTGTGATCTCCCTGGTTAGGTCCACATGCTGTAGTAAAGGAAACATTAATTTCTGGGGATTTAGATAATCTGTTGACCCAAAGCAGAATATTCATCGATTAATCTGCATTCAGTTAACTACACCAGCAGAGATAAGGAAGCAGCATGAGTTTTGACATTCATTAATGGTATCTGCCTTTAGTCTAGCCGGAATGATAAAAATAAATCACAAATTGAATAGATACTAACTATACTTTATATATATATATATATATATATACCCTATTCTTTTGCTTAAAATGTAAGTGTCTGACTTTTCTGAGAAAGAAGACAAATTACATTTTCTCTCAGTGATTATTCCACATTGGATAAGGTGCCACTCATTAATATACCTGTCACTGCATAAAAAAGCATGAAAGTATGTATTACCTTCGCGTTGCCTTTACATGATATCCCTAATCCATTATCATGTATTATTTTCCATGACAAGAAGTACCCTCCTTGCCACTTTGCCAGGCAGGGCATTTGCACAGCTTGACTAGGAGGACGAGGAGGTGTAGCCGCCAACTCCTGCAACCGACCACCCGCTGGTCAAATCCTCTTCACTGGTTTCACTGTGACTGTCTGCCCGCCATCCTTGGCTCGCCATGCAAAGATAGGACAGGAGCTAGGTGACCAGCGCCAGGCATACCCACTGGAGGTGGGAAGAGGACAGAGAGGGAATGGTGGAGGAAGAGAGAGATAGAGAAACAGATGGAAATATAGGCAGAAAAAGAGTGTTACAAGCTGAAAGAAAGGGCTCTCCCAGAGATCTGGCTGTTCTGTATCACAAGTAGGCATGTAAGATATGCAGAGAGGCAGCAGGTATGTTATTTAGACATTTTTATATGTCATCGTTTTTTGTTTGTTGTTGTTTTCTGTTGAAATAGCACATGTTTCAATAACCAATGCTACACCTACACAAAGATTAATTTGTCAATTGATGCACAGGATGTTTCTGCTGTCTGAATTAATGTTCTTCTAATCTTCTTTTCACGAATGTGATTAGACAGATAAGAGGAGATACTTGTTAACTGACTGTTGGCATGTACTGTAGCCCCACATAGCTGTGGAGGTGTCTGGAGTTACAGATGACTGCCGGCAATTGTTCTTTCTCCCATAATATATGCCCTGGCCCACTGACTACAGCTCGTGTTTTTCCATCCAAGTCCAGCATTTTAACACAGATGTTTGCTGTGGGAAGCAAGGGAAAGCTTGCTCATTCACTGCGCAGTATTTCCCTCACAGCCCTACAGCTAGTGTGCTTGTAGTCTGATTTGGCACATAATGGGTGTGTTTGTGTGGCTGAGTTGATAGGAGCTGTTTGAATGTGTATGTTTGTGTGTTTTGTACAGTACCATATTAACCAGTTCTAAATCTCTTCCCTGTCTCTTGTGTGGTGTCTTTCTGTCCTGTTTGTCTCTGTTTTCTAGGAATCACCTACTAGGTCATCAGTCATCTCTACTTGGCCTGGGGGTCTTCTAGAGGGTTGGACCTCCACGCCACCATGAAAGGGTTGGGGACCAACCGTAACAGACACCTCTCTGACTCCTGTGAACCTTCCCCAGGCCATCCAGAGGCCCTCTACCCTCCGAGAACCAGCACCCTGACACGCAGCCCTTACCTGCTGAGCCCCACAATGGAGCACTATGGCACCATGGACCCCCACCTTTATCCATCAGCCAACCCAGGCTCCCTTCCACCAGACTGCATGCTGCCCCTCAACAACCAGCTGTCCAACAGCAGCACCTTCCCCAGGATTCACTACAACTCCTATGACCAGTCTGACTTCTCCCCCCCTGGGGACAGCATCGGGGGGATAAGCACGGGGACCATGGGCACATCCATGTCCATGGGCATGGGCATGGGAACAGGCATGGGCATGGCAGGGCTTAGTGGACGGACACCTATGATTACAAGCGGCTCAGCAACTATTTCACATCATATGACCAAAAACCAGGCCCCAACCAGTCTGCTAGAGTTTGATAAGCAACTACCTGGAGGCCGCGACGGATTTAGCACGTTGCAGTTTCATCGAACATCCGCCGTCGCTGCTGCCAAGCAGCGCACAGACAGTCCTGGTCGCATCCGTTACATGCTGCACTCAGTGCAGAAGCTCTTTGCGAAGTCCCAGTCACTGGAGAGCCACAACATGAAAGGAAATGTCAATGGACGCTCTACTGGCAGTGGTGGAGGCTCGTCTGGCACAGAAGACGGTGGGAAGCAGAATCGCAGATCCAAAAGTAAAGATAGGGGTACAAAATCAGAGGCGACTGCCAAGCGACGACCACGCTCCAACATGTCAGGTTACTGGAGCTCAGACGATTTGGACAGCAGCGATTTGAGCAGCTACCATAACACCATGGCCATGATGACTCTGGGGCGTCCAACTGGCCACGACAGCCAGGGAGGCCAGAACAGATACATCCACAGTGGGTACAACACTATCAGCTCCTCCAAAACTAGCAATGACCTGAAGTATCAGCCACTTTCTGTGCCTGGGGGGGGAGGAGGTGGTGGACTAGGTGAAACAGGAAGAATGGTAATTAATGATAATGACTATATGAAAGGAGGGTCCTGGTCCACACTGACCATGGGCCAGCCAAGACAGGTGATCCAGAAAGGCTCAGCTACTCTGGACAGGTCCATGCTCAAGTCCAAATCCTGCCAACAGGAACTAACCTGCAACTACCTGCAGGTTGGACGAAGGGTGAGTAGCCCTGATGTGAATGTAGTGCTTAATAAAAGTTATATTTACAGAGGTGTTATTTTTACAGACTCTAATACACCAATACAGGGATAAAGGGATGACACAGATTGTCAAAAAACTAAAGACTAATTTATTTACTAATTATCTACTTAATGCTGCCTATAGGGGGATTGGAGTAGCACATTAGGCCGCAGCGGGGGTGCCAATGAAATCCCATGTCGGCGGATGCGCAGTGGTAGCTATGTGAAGGCCATGGGAGACATGGAGGACAGCGACGACTCAGAGGGAAGCCCCAAACCCTCACCAAAAGGCGCCGCTCGTCGCCAGAGCTACCTCAGGGCTACACAGCAGTCTCTGAGCGACCAGCTACCCCCACGCAAGTAAGACAACAGACTGAGCTTTATTATGCAGTACATTAGTATTCAACAGCAAGGGAAACAACCCAATGTTAAATGTACCATGATTCATGTGAAAACCACAGTAGCCCCATGATTAAAATTCAACTGTCCCAAAATGATGGACAGGTTTTTAATAAAGATAATCAGATAATTATTGAATCGGAGTACTTCATGTTGCTGTGAAAAGTTTGTTTACATCAGTAAGTCCTTTATTTCCAGTCAGGCTCAGTTGAGAAACAAACAAAATGTTTATTTTTTTGTATGTATAATTTAAAGCCTTCAGTTCCTAAATCCTAAATGCGAATATACTCAAATGAAGAGTACTGCTTGGCCTTTTAAAATGTGTGGCTATAAAAACTTTTGATTTTCACCCAGACACTCATAAGAAGACGCAGTTATAAATACTGATTGGCACAACCTCTCAACAATCAAAAGAAAATGAATAAGCCAAGCTGTCCTGGACGTATAAGAAGGAAACTGTCACACCCAGCCTCCCCATGCCAGTATGCAGGGAAACACAAATGCATCCAACATGCACACACAAGTACACACAGTCCGCATTATGCGTAGAATTAAGTGGTGCCAGCCTTACTACCATACCTCAGCTGTGATTTACTTTCCCACTGTTGGACCGACGAAGCAACATCAGCCTAGCTAAGAGGACACCAACAACATTAGTGTAGTTTACGTAATATGACACTGACTTTTGTTTCTTCTCAACCAGTACATCACCACAGTCCACCACACACAGTCTCATCTCTCCAACTGACTGGCATTGCGCCTCACTGGTCTTTAAATTACACGCTTTCTGAAGCAGACGTATTGCACAATATGTGATAAAGGAGCAGTGGGACAGCTGAATTGACCACGTTCTTTCATTTGGATCTAAGGCAATGTTGAGCGAATTTGAGCAAGACGGAACTTTTGTGTTTTACTATTACTCAGATTTTAGGGGTGTGGGAGTGTTTTGTAGAGGAACAGTCACACTGCCATAAAGTGGCAAAACGTTTTTTTTATTTATTTTTTGTGGCAAAACATTTTGGCAGCAGTTACATCTGCTGTCCAAGAAAAAAGATTTTCTGCATTCTTAGGTTTCTGTCTGAAAAGACTGTCTGCAGGACAGAACTTTATGAAATTTTAATCATTTCTTTTGCCATATATTTTGTTGCTTTGCTGTACTGTACTCTATTTTGGATGTGTGTTAATGTTTTGCCAATGCATTCAGATACATAAATGCAACACAGTCAGCATAAGTCAATTTAACTATGCTTTACATTTCCGTCAGCATGCATGTATGCTATAATCGACTTTTAATATTAACAAAGGTTGTTCCAGGAATTGAAATGACAACGTTTGTGACAATGCCTCTAAATGCCAATAAAGCAGCTGTCGTTTTTGTTTCCCTCAAATTTGGAGGTTGCAGTGTCAAAATGCACACACTTTTTATATTTCTGGTTGGATCACAGATTGAGTGTTGATGTAAGAAAATACAACTCCATTCAACCGAAACAAGAGGGCATCACTTTCGGAAACAGAGCCACGGGTCTACCTGACACACACACCTCCACATGAATAAAAGATTTCAAAATCCAAAGTCTGTTTAGAAATTTAAGGATTTATTCTTCCCTAAAGCGTGCTTGAATGACTAACCCTACTCCCCCTGCCAATCCCTGATCATCCAACCCCACTCTCTTCCGGTCTGCTCCACCCTGATTGGCGTGAGCAGCAGAACCCTGGAGTACACCTTGTTGCAGGGGGAGCTGGATGCGCTGTGGTCTCCACTCCACAGTGTGTCCTCTTTGCACCAGCTGGGCAGGTCAATGAGCAGGTCAGTGATAGGTCTGTAAGCCATGTCTCAGGGGTGTGGTGCAAAACGCTTATGTCTGATTGGATCATTTACAATGATTGACTCTGCACTGCCCCCCTCCAGATGTCTGTAAAGTCAGTGGCAACTCCAAATGCCAAATTCATGCCCTGCTGCCAACAACTGCCAACCTCCCTTAAGCTTGTAAATACCATCTGCCCAGTGCTTTTAGGTGAAAAGTAGCTGAGTTTGACACTATTCAACTGGGGGAATGAGGGGACATCTGTGTCCATAGCCCACGGCCTGTCAGCTTTAACTGTCATGCTACTATCACTGTGTGCCAACAAAGAATATGTAAAAATTTCAGAGTTGCTGCTTGATTAAAATCTAAACCTGTTCTTTGTCTTTGGCACCATGATGGCAGAGAGACCTGTGTACATGCGTTGCCTGACATCACTGGCTTTGCATGCTCAAATGCTAAAATTAGATGAAACTGGAATGGAGTCGAGATTCTGAGTCATGGTGACTCACAAATGAAAGTGGAAATGAAAGGGATAACTTGAATAACAACCTTATCTTCCTTTTATCTCTCTTTCAATTCCTGGTTTTGCTGATCATTCATTTTCTCCCGCAATCCATGTTTCCTTTCTGCCTCCCTGTCATCATATAATAACAACAACTGTTTTTGCATCTTTTCACTGAATATGTCCTCCTGCACTGCTGACGTTGCCTTTAATTTTCCTACTTATGTTTCAAATCCTTAACACATCTCCTTTATCTTTCTTTTCACTCCCACCTTACTCCTCTTTCCAGCTGTCTTCCATCTCTCAGAGAGCTCTCCAATAATCGCAGCCTGGACAACCTAGACTGCATTGGGGAGACAGGGTCGTCTTTGCCACGCTGGGATGATGATGACTTCAGCCAGGCCTGCAGCACCTTGGGCAGACGTAGCTGCATGGAACAGGTCAGTGCCTTCTTGTACAGGACAGACAGGGACCGAATTAAATGTGGGGTTAGTGAGCAGCAGTCAGAGCTGAAATAATGAATTCCAATTTTTCTCTGTCCGTTTGGGTCTCTTTGTCTGTCTTTAGCTCAGCTGATATTTTTCAAACGAGTTAAGAACACATTTGTGCTGGCTCGAAATTTACATCACTTAGCTCCTAGCAAACTTTCTACTTTCAAATCACCCATTTCAAAGACTCCTTTGTCTGCCTTGAGCTGCTAATACTCATTTCCGTAGTATAATTAGCATTTTCACAGATACAGTTTGAATGACTTGAATGAATGAGCTTCCAGCAAACAAAGAATCCCTTTTTACCAAATGTATCTCATATTAATGTTACGAACCTAAAAGTCAAATAAATGACATTGGTAGTTTTATGTGCAATTCATCTACTTACATAAGAGCCATTAGCTTCCCTCTGACAAGGTCACTGAGATGATGAACAACTACGTGAAGTGGCTCTGATCTTTTTCAATGAACTAGTCAAATGAGACAGTGCAGGCTATTAGTACAGGATTTGCACCCAATCTCTGACAGATCATGGCCTTAACAAATGTGTCCAGTATATGAATTTATTGCTTTAATTTACATGCACAGCAGCATACCAAACACATTTAAAAAACATTATAATTTAAGGGGTCAAGTTGTAAACCTTTTACCAACAAAATTTATTTGATTCAGAGCAAGTGAAAAGTACGAATACCCAACATTTAACATGACTCCAAAATGCTGCCTCTCCTGCAATCACCCACCTCTGAACCATCAAAATAACTTTGCTACAAACACATTTGGGCTGTTTCTGTCAATCAACAGAAAATGAAACCCATCATCTGCAAGGCTGGTACTTACTCTTCAAAAGAGCTCTCAATAAAAAGTTTTAAAGTGATGTCTCTTGCCTTAGCATTTATTTTATCTGTAAGAAATGCATTTTACAGATGAAATGACAGCCCATCAAAAAAACAGCATGAAGAGAAGCATGAGGAGCAACACTGAGGTTTAAGAGCACTGTGATCTACAATACTTGCACTAATTGTACCACCATACCTAAATGTCATGCAGTTGTACTTTTGACCATTTGTGGGCCATCTAATTGCATCCTATTAAAGTGTCTCATAGGTGGAGAATGCCCTTTACAGAAACACTCAGCTGGGCAGTTAGTGGTCACCTCCAGCACTCGGAGCAGCTATTGTGATCCAAATGAACACACACCACTGTTACGTCTTTGCAATTATTGGCCTTTCTTCCCTCCAGCTACGGGACCTGGAAATGAGCCATCATTACGAGGACCGCGGCTCCGAGTCCACATACAGAGATTCCCGTTCTCAATCTCAGGACAACCCAGAGCCTCCAGACTTGCCCATGCCAACATGCTTCCGATCACGCAGCCACAGCTACCTGAGAGCCATCCAGGCTGGCTGTTCCCAAGATGACGACACAGCGTCCATAGACTCAGGCTGCTCACCGCCTCTGACTGACACCACTGTTCGCACATACAGCTCCAGCACTGGTGAGTCATTGGCTGAAAAACAGATAATTTGTTTTACTTCATAAACCACACAGTGGGAAATTGGAAGAGCTTTTACCATGACGTAGTGTTATCTGTCGCCACACTTCAATCTGAATGCTGTACATTCATTCGCGAACACAATCTATATAGTGTATATATTTGTTTAGGTTATTATTTGGCTATCAAACCTTGATTATTTTTGCAAAGCTGTGACCCCTTTTCCAGAGTGTTGTATTTTCCATAACATTTCTCTGAATGCTCTTCATAGCCTTGGTCCTGGGTGGTACAGTAGTCCTCCAACATGCACGCACCAGCATATTTAGCTCAAATGCAGCCTCTTTTGCCCATGCTAGACAACCTGTCCACACAGTGGAAGACATGGAAAGAACAGTTTGGCTCTTACCTGATAGCCGCTGGCTTGGACAAAGCCCCAAAGGAGAAACAGCTTGCAATTTGTCTTCAGCGTTTGGGGACAGACAGACCACGCATCCTACCCACACGCACAGGTAACAAATTGAAACCAACTCTTCTACCCTAAAAAAATATGTTTTTTAATATACCACTTAAAGGACTACAAAAAAAGAACAACAACCTAAAACTCAGCATCAAGACAAAGTTGATCAAAAAGAGCCACGGGACAGCTGTTTATCAGATGGACACTAGATCACACTGCTGTTCACGGTGAAGCATCACTGTGGAGTTTGGTTATCAATGAGATTATTACAAGATGTAGTTACAGGACACAGCAGCACAGGAATACACTGGGCAATTTGCATGTTACCTTGATAATGAATTTGCTATAGCAGGAATTGCACGTGTGTGATGACACACATTAGACAAAGAAGCTTTATACTGGTTGTTGACATCTGACTGCTCCCTGAGGTCAGAATTAGAGTATGGATATTATGTGCATGTGGTTGCGTTATTAACATGACTGTATAAAAGCAGGTAGGCTATTACCATAGAGCATCCAGCTTGTGGCGCTCTTAACCAGTCTCCAGCACGTGCTGCCTTCAGGGTGGTAGCATATTGCAACTCCCTGTCTTCCTTCCCTGTCTGTTGCTGAAGATCTCCAGGATAGTCTGAAGGCTTTTTTTTATCCCCAACAAACGTTCCAGTCAATCGACATGTTTTGACAATTTGTCGGATTTCTTTCTTTTTTTCTTAAATTAGATTTAACTTTATTGTCATTATGCAGAGGCCAGGTACAGAGCTAATGAAATGGCGTTAGCATCTAACCAGAAGTGCTGAAATATAGTGATTTTACAGACGAGTACAGTTATGCTATATCTTACAATATGTACAGTGGAGTTTTACAGATATAATAAGCTACAGTATATGTCAATATATTAAAAATATCTTATATAGAAGAGAAGTGGACAGGGTTAGAGTGCAAATGTATGGATGCATGTGGGCTACAGAATATGCATAGGCTAAATATAACAACGTGCACACATTATGTTATTTGCACATAATGCTGATGGGAGAAAGTTAGCTTCCCCCTTTCTTTTTCAAATTTCCAAGTCTGCATCCCATTGCATTTCTCTGCATTGTTTTGATTATTTGGTTGTGTGATGTGCAGTATTAATAGTGCATTTTCGTGGTTCAACAATTGTGTTTTGTGTGATGTAAGGATATAATACAGCCTTAAATACGATAGGTAATCAATCCATCAGTGCCGGTGTTATACCGAGTTTTGCATGCCAGCCGAGAATTGCATGTACCTCCAAATACTGCTTTTAAACGCTATAATATCCTTCGTGGGATTCATCAATTGTGATAAATGACTCGAAGTCTTCTTTTTTCAACGTTTAGAGTCGTTAATATTTTATTACACTTAGTAGAAGTAGCATTCATTGAGATTCAGCTAAAAGATGTCCTGATTACCGCGTTTGATCTATGAGCACAGCCAAGTGTCTGAACTGTGTCAGAAAAGGACCTTAAGACATGGATGCATAATTCGGCAGGACAGATGTTGTAGGCTACCTGCCGAGATTTGCATCCACCTCTTTTTCCATCTTACATGAGCGTTACCAGCCGCGAGGTGCATGCAGGAAGAATTCAAACACAACACTTGCAAGGGAAGTGACCCGGGTGTCTGAGCAAGGAGACCTTCAGCATAGAGAGGATGAATGAGACAGACGCAGTTATTGAGGTGTGACATGACAGAGCATTGGGCTTTTTTTTCTCTTTCTTTTTTTGCAACACGCAGTAGAAATGTGTCCCCATAAGGTAACTCTCCTACAGTATCCGCGTTGTTATTCAGTTGCCAACAAAAGCACCCTAACGTGTACCAAAATCATATACAGTAATGAAACTGTGGAGTGTGAGTGTCCGAGGCGCTCCTGAAGGCATCAGCGCACACGCCTCCCTCGGGCTCAGAGACACACAAAACAAAAGACACCAAACCCGGCTTCTCTCCTCCACAGCCTTCACGGAGACGGCGAGTGTCCACTCCGTTTCCAGCTGGCCTGAAAATATTTTAAGCCTTAATTGAAGACAGCGCTGTGCTGTGTACTACTTGTCTGCGCCTGGCAGCACGGTAGGTGTTTTAACCGTGCCGTTTTTATCGTTGAGGTTAATTGTGGTCAGTGTGTTGTCCGTTACTAACGATGGTTGCCTCGCATGTTTGGTTACTGGACCTTCTTTAACGGTTGACCACCGAAACTTATAACGGACGTTTGTTAACGGTAACTACTTTCTCTCGGTTTGTCTCCTCACCCACTCTTGGAGCACCCGGTATCCACAGTTTTAATATCATGCATCACTGGGTGGTTGTGCTCTTGAGAATGAATTCAACCAACTTCAGCAGGTGCCCTTCAGAATGGCTGTGTCTGTCTGTGTCATTGATAACGACTTTGACTTTCTGCACTGAGTTCACGCTTTGCGTTAAATATGCTCATTTGCTGACCTACTGCAGCTAAATACAACTTGTCTAACATGTTCAATTTAAGTAATAAGTTATTCAGTCAGACGCAAAGTACTGTTAGTCAGTTTGATATCTCAGAACTCTGAGATAAATATCTGATATTCTATTTCTTTTTCTCTCTGACTGCCTCAGTCATTTAAATTTTTATGGTCTATCATGCTTCCAGCGGTGCTGTTGTATGCACTCCTCACTATATTAATTATTGAGTGTTCAGTACAAAGTGCTCTGTTGCTGACACCAGGAAAGCATGTTCCCTCTACCTGTACGCTCATGGCTGTGATGCTCCACCCTGGGATAAGTGCTGTTGAAACTGTATGAGAACAAGTTATATGTAGCCTATGTTAGTTGTCTGGATGGCCGTTTTAGCAGTTAAATGCATTCAAGTGTCTCCATACAAGCTGTATCTTTTTGGATGCAGAAATAGAGGGGGACAGTGGGGTGGGGGGATTATTTGAGGGCTGCCCCACTTTTGTCCCTCTCAGCGTCCTGTGTATTGCAACATGGATTAAATCCCATTTTGAGGTCACGTTTAATAAAAAAAAGTGTGTGCGGTTTTATAGCTGTTGTCGCAAGCTTTTAATGTGATAATTCATGGGAATACTGGCTATGGTGATACGTGGAGCGGCAATAGTTTCAGGCAGGGCATGTCTTGTGGCTGTTAATTGATTAAACAATACAGATGGGTCAGCTGGCAGGCTGAAGGCAACTTGGCAAGCACCTACTGTTAAATAGAGCATCACAATCCACCTTTTGTCTTTCATTGCCCCTGCTTGCTCTCCAGCTCCAGCCAACCCACAGAACAGCACCACCTCAACCAGTCATCTTAAAATGTATGTTTTTGCCCGTCAAATAGTTCAGCAGGCTTTAAAACACTCATTCCCAAAAGCGGGGCCAAAACTGTCATCCTGAGTGTTTCATCTGTCTCACAGTTATATAGATAGTTTGACTATCCTCAGATACACCAACCACTTCACTTACCCTCAGTTTTTGTCCTCCAAAGTGGATTAAATAAGCAAGATGGGAGACTGATTGGATCAGGGTCTTAAATGAGGGGATGAATCCATTCAAATGCTGATGCATCATTGGAGATTTGAGACGGTTTTAAACATCGGCTCGGTGAGTGCAAAGCAGTCACGGTGGTTGTTGGAAACTGTTTTCAGCTGCTGTAGCCTCTCGCAGCTAAGTGTTTTCCAGCCATGAAAATCACATCTTGAACCAGGGCTCACAGTGGACAACAGAACCACTGTCCAGATGGCATGAAAACAGCAGCGCTCGCTGCCCACTCCAGATTCCACTCAGACATTTTGGCACAAAGCGTCTGGTTGTTTCTGTTGTCAAATTCCCTTCTGTAGGGCAACCAAAACGTTTTCTGTGCAACTCCTGTACACATAAATCTGCTTATTTAAGAAGAAACAGTATTTGGCTTCAGGTCCATTGTTATAGCTCTTTTCTGTGACGCTGACGAGTGTTTTGGTGAAGGAAAGGCTTTATCAGCTTTTGTACTACTGTCAGTAGCTATGTACACACGGGATGTGTTTTATGCTTGCACAGCTGTGTATGTTTGTGTGGCTGAGTTCTGTAAAATGGGCATAAACAAACAGTCTGAATTAGAGTATGTGCCACTCACTATATATCTGTCTGTGGGACATTTCTGCCATTGGTGCATTTTCTGGCTTTTAACAAGCATTTATCAGGAATCGGCTAAATGTTGTTTTCTTGGCTACAGTCTTATTTGACACACCATAATATTCTGCTTTTACAACCTTGTCTTTTTTTGTTTTAGCCATTATTCTACCATCAATCACTCACCAGTTTTCACTGCTGATATCTGAGATGTGGCAAAACCACCTGCTACAGCCGTTGTACAGTGGGAACAGACAAAACTGGTCTGATCACTTGTGTGGTTGTCCCTGTGCACGCCATTGTTAGGCCGTGTCTAGTAGAATCACTGCAATCTCAAGAATGAGCCATACAGCATGGACGATTTTGTGGTGAGCTAAACTCGGCTGATAATATTGGCCTGGCCCATTTATTGTGTGCGGCTCTGCTACTTTATCCTGTCTAATCTCAGAGGCAGCTGTCAGTTATGATTTTCGGGCTTGTTTTTGGTGGTAAAGTAGATTCTGTGGTATTAAGACTTAAGGGTGAATTCTGCTCATACTGATGAAAGCATGATGTGACACATGGAGAACCGCAAGGCAGGTGTCCAAACACAATGACACACACACAACCACACACACACATCTATGCCTGCTCAAACCTAGTTAGTGACAGCTATTCTTCAGACTGGGATGCAGGATTGGAGCCGGCGCACTGTAGCTGCCGTGACGGTGACAACCCTGTCCTGCCCAGCATTTATCTCCGTCATGAGAGGTGACATGGACAGTGAAAAGCTGTTTCAGCATCTTTTCCTAAGGCAAGGATGGTGGTCAGAGGCCAGTGGATAATCCATGGCTAGTGACATGTACTGTTAAGCATGATTGATGCTAAACTGCAAGTTTTCCTAAAATACATTTGTTAGGCTGGATTTCTGTCTTGCAAGATGCCAAGATTGGACAAGATCTTTCCTATAATTATGACAGCTCTGGATATTACTGAGATGCTATGCTTGACATGTCTATTTCCTGTCTCATGGATGTCTGGGGCGGCTTTTTGACTAGCAGATTGAGTTGGTGGTTAAATTTTTTAAATGTGGAGCTGGGGAAGTTTTCCATCTACCAAAGCATCACATTTAGCTTCCCTGGGAAAGCCTACGCTAAGACATTGGCAGCCTCATACATTTGGAGTGAGGTTTCAATTGTCAGATTGTGTTTTTACAATGAGGGCTGGACACCTGAGTGGGTGGTGGGGCGTGTCCAGTCTCCTCTTTGTGATGTTTGGTCTGGAGTTGGTGCACTTTGGGTGTGGTTTGTGTGTCATCTCTGCTGTTTACGGATGCTGTCAGTGTTTTTGCTTCAGAGTGTCATTCTGGGTTATATGTATGTTTTAAACTAGCAGCCCAAGCTATGCTAAGCTCACTGAAGCTTCCGCTAAACACAGCTGGAGTGGACTGGATGATCTTTTGCTTAAATATAAGCTAATAGCAGACTGCAAATGCAATAGCATGCTTTTATAAATAATAGGGGAGCAAACCCACAGCACAAGCACTTAGTTAATCTGAAGAAGCTCTGAGAGGAGGACCGGCAGGACCAGGAGGACCTTGGAGCCAGTCATGGTGCAGTGGTTCAGGCTGATACATTTCTCTGGTTTATCAGACTGACAGCAGTTTGATAACTCAGCAGCCAGTTCAGTTAGTCTGACACAAAGATATGCGTGACGTCATTAGTTCCGTGACAGGTAAGGTTACATACACATGAGCGATAAAGCTAAGACGGGCATTACAATGAACAACAGCCCTTTTGTTTAGGTGTTTTCCCAGCAGCTCACGTGTTTGCTGCCACAAGGCTTTTTCAGAATCCTTGATGACTGGAAGAGATTTCTGACCACAACACGTAAACAGTGTTTGCTTCATGCAGTGCCTTATCAAACTGCCTTCATGTAGTTTCCGCCTATCTCAAAGTAAATCCTTTCAAGTGTCACCACAGGTAATTGTAACTATGTCCGTGTAGGTTTTTACACTTGGAGTGCACCAGCTTTTAGTACACAATGGTTGAGCATAACAGAAAGGTCTGGGCCCAGAGTCAATAAAATGGCCAACAGACTGGCCAACACCACATTCAAATAGATCTTGAATTTGTCTGTGCACATATACAGTATGTCACTACAGATTATGTTTCTGTATGTACACGACATCCTTAGGCACAGACAAATTTCATTGGAAAATAATTTAATTCAGTTTATATCTGTCATCTGGTGGCACGGTGCTGACAGCAGTTTCATCTGATGGAAGCAGAGTTGATGTTAATATTAGACTATGAAGTCATTAACTGCCCCACTGATTTCCTGATTATAGTGTGGTCTGATGTTTTTAAGCAAAAATGTCAAAGGCAGCAAATACATGCATCCACAAATTAAAAGAATATTAAGACTGTTTCAATAACGGGTCTTTAAATAGAAACCCAATCCTGTGAACGTATTTTGCCGTTTGTCTTGTACAGGTTCCATCAGCTTTCCACAGGTTTTGTTTCCAGTGTGGTGTCAAATAAAGCATCTTTTTAAGGGATTATATAGTAGCCACAAGGTTCATAATGTTTCAAGAAAATTCCCTGTTTAGATTATAGGTTTAAGCGTCTGCCTTCACTAAGTAGCATGAGGGGATTTCTGTGGTCTCTTGATAGAAGGCCTCAGAGACTCTGAATTTTCCTACAGGCCTTTGAGTCTTCATATAATCTATTTGCATGAGAATTCTGTTATTACTTATTTGCATTTTGTGACCGCCTTGATGCCTCAACTACTCACAGTTGTAAATTTGGCCCTACTTTGCACAGTTTTTATTTGCACCCCATTAACTCGATCTGATGCACTTTTTACTATCTCTGGGTGAATTCCTGCTCACAAACGGCCTTTTATTTCTGCTCTCACTGACACAGTTCAGACTGTGAGGGAAAGTATCCATGGACCAGTCAGCCATGAACAGTTGATTTGGTTGATAGATAAGATAGCTCTACTGGTAGTGAATGCAGTCAGACTGGCAGAGGACAGAGTTATGAAGGGAGTGTTTTTTTGTGCACTGAAGTCTGCTTTATATGTTGAGTGCTGGACTCACGCTGTGTGGATTTCATGTAAGCCCACATAAAAGTTCCTTCTGTAAGGAGCTCAGCTTTAGATTTTTAACCCGGGTAATATGTGACTATGAAACTAAGGAGTGTAAACTCTTGAAACATTAACAAAGCTTACGACTTGGTGTCTACTTTGTTTCTTTTTTTTTTGCCTTTTTTTTTTGGTGGCTCTTCATTTGCCATCAGTATCAGACCAAGCACTTTAACAGCAATCATTAAATCCCTGTTAAGAATGGGAGCAAACTTTATTTAAATTTATTATCTCCTTTATAGCTGGAGGGCACATTTGGTCTGGCACTAAGGAGTGGTGCATATAAATGTCTTAATGTCTTAAGAGTTAGATGGTCAAACTTATTTCATCACCTGTCTCGTGATCGAAGGCTTTGAAGTGTTGTGCATGTGTGAATTAATTCAGTCACCTGCGGAAGCGGTATGTTTGTTCAGTGTCCTGCCTGATATGTAATTTTCTGCTCCCTGATTCTGCTGTTCCAGCTTTCGTGCAACAGTGTCCTTCTGTATTCATGTACAAGATGAAGCGTTCTGCTCTGGACATGCTGAGAAAAACTTGTTAGTCCGTTTTTTAGAAGTCTGCTGACAAGCAATATGGGCGATGCTTCAGGCTGTTTTCAGTACTGCTATTTGCTGTAATTGCTTCATGCTTTTTTTGAGTTCACTCTGACGTGATTAGGCTACAAAGATTTGCTGAAACATCTTTACTTCTGTCATTTGTAATTACCCCCCCCCCCCCCCCCCGACTTATTTCTCTCGTTCTCCCCTCCCGGTTTCTCCTTCAGTCTCTACATGCATAACCACCTGTAAGAAGACTGCTCCTCCACCAGTGCCGCCGCGTACAACCTCCAAGCCCTACATCTCCGTGACAGTGCAGAGCAGCACAGAGTCGGCCCAGGACAACTACCTGGACCAGCAGGACCGCAGGTCAGAGGTCAACAGCCAATCAAGCCACGCTCACAGCAACTCCTCTGACAGCCTCGACAGCACTCGTGCCAACAGCCTGGCCCGCGGTATTCCCCGCCCTCCACACATCATCCCCACTCCCATCGCCACCCCGAGAGAGCCAATTGCCCCCACCACCACCAATGCTTCCACTGAGACAAGTGACTCAGTAGTCCAGCATGAATCCTTGAGGTCAGGATTTAATAAAGGGAACCTAGTGGCAGAGGAGCCCCTAGTGGCACCTGTACCCAGGCGGAAACTGTCCTCCATTGGCATACAGGTAGGCAATGGGAGTTGGTTCCAACGTATTAACGCACACTAACACAGTCAAGTTAGATTCCAAGCCACTGTTTGTTTGTTTTTTTGAAGCGTAGCTCATTCCGCCTGTTGAGCTTGAATCTAGAAAAAACATTTTAACAGCAGTCCTCTGTGGTGTGTGGCTATGTCTGAGGATGTGCTTGCAAGCTAAAGGTCTCATTAGGGCAAATATCCCTCTATCATTAGAGCTGGCTATATACTGTAGTATAGAAATGGCACATTTTCCCCCTCAACCAAAACTTTGTGTTCTGTATATGATGAAATAACAGCCCTTTTCTCCATTTTCCAGACCCCTGATTTGGTTTATCGCTTGCTAACCCTTCACAACATATCCTAGCTAGAAGTCATTGATTAGGGGTTTATAAAACCATTCATTGTTATTGTTTGTAACTTTGAGTTGATCACTGATTTATGATTTATTTCATTTCATTTGTTATTTGTCCTAAGGTTGACTGTATTCAGGAAGATCCACGAGAGGAGACCCCTCCATTGGCCAAATTTCAGTCAATCGGAGTACAGGTGGAGGACGGGTGGCAGTAAGTCCTCTTCCTGTCCTTGTAACAACGTGAGGAATTTATATTATAGTCACACACACCGCTGACTATTCTTTCTCTTTACAGAAGCTATGTAGATGTGAAAGCAATGTGAATGTCAGTTTAGTTTTTGTCTGAAAACAGTCTTTGTGTTTTTTGTGTATTGGTGGTGTTCAAGTAGATTCCTAGCATGAACATTTGCTATTTAAACTTGTCTCTGCTTACTCTTTATTTGAGACCCATTTCTAGATTATTACAGTGTAGTTTGCGTTATGTGCTCATGACGTTTTGAATTCCAGGAAGTTCCAGGACACCCCATGCCTTCCTCCTGTATTTTCTTACTTTTGTATTCTGCATTTAATGTTTCGTATGCAGCAGCTGCTCTGAGTCCTAATTGATATTTTACAAACATAGCCATCTGAACAAGAGTTCCTTTGTTTATTTGTACATTTTCCTTCTTGCATTTTAATTGATCTTGTACACACATTTGTGCTAAGTGACAATTTCTCATCTGTGTTTGTTTCTCATTTACCAAAATATGGCTTACGCTGTGCTTTTCCAGTGTTTTGATGTTCCTGTCCTCTGATATTGAATAAGATTCTTCAGTCAAACATTCATAATATTTCATTATCTGACTGAATCGCCACTTCCTGATTAATAACAGGAAATGGAAATCATGTGGAGTCAGACAACATTCATGTTCAGCTTGTGCTTCCGTTTGCCATATGAAAACAAGAAGCTAGAGAAGATGAGAGATGAGTTGATGCCGGTCTGAGTGCTCTATTATCACATAGCCCAGTCTCGCATCGATCCTGTTTATTTATATCTATATTGAGCAGCAGAAGTGACTCAATGCCGAAACTAAGTATTTCATGTTTGTTCCAGTAATGAAGACATCATTCTTGAATAATTTATTGTTTTCTTTGTCCACTGCTGTGCGCATCACAGTGGACAAAGTCAAAGTTGTTGTTCTGTCGAAAAGGCCCATCTGTAACAGTGAGTCTCGCCCTGTTTGTTTCAGGCTCAGTCGCTCCAGTAGCATGGCCTCAAAACAAGAAACAGACTCAGACACACAGGACATCCCTGTCATCTCCCATATCAATAATGCCAAACACTCTGAGAAAAAAATCATGGTCAGTAGTGCCAGCCAATCAATGAGCTCCCCTCCTGGACAGGACTATTTAGACAACGGAGACACTACTGGTGACGCCTCTTCACCTCCCCCGCCCAGGCAGATCCTCAACCGCTCCACCACACGAAGTAGCTCTTCCTCCTTCTCAGAAAGTCTGGACCCAGCGCTGGACCCCTCCTCTCTACCACCTCCAGACCCTTGGCTGGATAGTGGGAATGGGAGTAACAGCAGTGTTCCTCAGAGTGGAGGAGGGGGAACGCTGTGCCGGCGAGACGGCCACTGGTTCCTGAAGCTACTGCAGGCCGAGACGGGACGCATGGAAGGCTGGTGCCAGCAGATGGAACAGGAGACCAAAGACAACCAGCTCTCAGAGGAGGGTAAGGCTGCCAGGGTACTCACTACAGCTCCAGCCTTTGTGAGGCAGCAAGCTTGCACACAGTGGTGATCACTGCATTATCCTATTGTTTTGGTGGCTTTACCAAAATAGTCATGCGAGGAAGATTTTTTTCACAACACAAAAACGGTATGTTTCATTAGCTGCTAGAGATTTTTTTAAATGGTAATTGTATGATCCATTGCTATTTCAGTGATAGCATACAATTACATTTTAAAGGTTTACTCTTGGGTTAGTATAATGAACGTCCATCTCCAAACTATTATTATTATTATTTGGCCCAGAAAAAGAACAGAACAAAACTGGATGTGCAGTCAAAGCACTGCTGAAGTCAAACATGTCCAGGCCCTCTGAATGAACCCTGCATCTTGAGGTCTGCTGCCGTCTGAGTCAGTTCTCCTCTATAACCGGTTAAATGGTTCTTCCTCAGGACCTACAATCGCTCTATCAGACATACACAGCGTGCAGGGGATGAGGCGGTAATACGTGGGGTTACCACACACAAGCAGGCCTGTAATCCTCAGAATTACACAAATCTACTCTGGAACTGATTAAACCTCCAGATTAGATTAGTGCAGCGACATCAGCAGTGAGCGCGCACACAAATGCACAATGTACACTGTGTACACACAAACAAACAAAAGTAGGAGGGCTTTGGATGCTCAGTTTATATGAGAAGCACTGGATCAATATAAGAACAAGGGTGTGTGTGTGTGTGTGTGTGTGTGTGTTTTAACAGTCGGCATTAAATCTGATGCAAATCTGTACTGCAAAGCCGGGTCTCACCACAGTATAATCACATTGCCATAACTTTACAATCCAGTGATCAGATAGGAGTCCTAATTTTGTCCGGGTAGATGTTTGTCCTAGTTTTCACACAGCAACAGACTAGCATAGTGACCACTGACTGACAGGCTGGAGTATCTATATGAGCTTAGATGCCTTTTGACGAGGATAACATAGTCCAATACATAACACTGTAATCCTCTCCATGCCAACCAGTGGAGATGATTTGGCAATGCATTGTAAGGCACACCTTGCATGCTATGAATAAGCCAGAGTACACTTGGTGTAGTTGCAGCTGTACCTTTTATAGGCAGGCTTTGGTGTGTATGCCATGCCATGTGTCTTAGTAAAGCTTAGAATTGGTTTGTGTGTCATCCATAGAAGGAATAACCGGATGCCTCTGAGATAGATAATCATTCGTGTGTCGATTTCTGTTCTTTTTTCAGTGCTGGGGAAGGTTCGCAGTGCTGTAGGAAGTGCCCAGCTCCTAATATCCCAGAAGTTCCAGCAGTTCCGGGGACTATGTGAACAAAACCTGGTGTGTAAATCCTTCTGCTCTACAGGTCTGCACAGGCATGAAACTGAGACTCACATCTGTGGTGGTGTCCCAAACCAAACAATGTTTTTTTAAGACCGAACCAAACCTAATGTTATATTTTGGTTATTATGTCTTCTGCAAGATATGCTTGCCAAGATGCACATAAAGGCTTTCGCATGAAATCGAACTGACTAATCTGGGAACAGCCATGGTACACAGAATATGAGGCCTACACAGAATAAGGCATGGTGGCCCACCAGTACAAAATACAAGGAGCTTATAATAAGCTAATAAGCCATTCCACTCGAGTGACGTATTTTACTGGAAGTTGCAACTACCAACAGATGACACTAACACAGCATCTCAGATTCAAAAAGCATCTGTTTTAACTGTTTGTTGGTACTGTATGAAACTCAACTTCCCAAATGTTGGCCAGATAAAAATGAATTAGTATTTACTGAATTTTATTCATTTGCGATCTTGGTTTCTGTTGTCTAGTGATCCCAGGGAAATGCTACTTCATTCTACCTGTAGTACTGTGGCATATCTGGTAAAATGTTAAACAATAAATCTTATCTTAATTTATGTAATCATGTTCTAGATCTCGGTACTTGTTTTTCTAGGTAATTTAAAAATCTCTTTATTTTTAAAAATAGAGGAGACAAAATATTATAGACTTTATTTTGTTTTTGTTTTTTCAATACAGCAGTTTTGTGTGCTGTGCTTGTCGTATCAGCCAGGTGGACTTGGAGTAACTTATATCAACTTTTTTACAGAAAGCAAGTTAAAGGGAGAAAAAAACACGGTCATATTTGGGTCCATTTCCATTGCAATGCAGCTGAGGAGGGAAAGCTGTACGTAACAAAAAGACCCAGTGCAGACATAAAGCCTGATTCTTTGTCAGGCTCAGGTTGGGTACCAAGAAACACAGCACAGGACACATTACAAGAGTATTCAGAAAACAAAATCGCATGCTCACATGAAAATCTATTATTTATGCAAAAGCAAAAGTTTCACTGTGAAGACATGATTGAGCCTTAGTTAAGCAGATCAATTGTGAATGCTTTGTATGGGTTGATATCACTGTACTCCAGACATGATAAGCCTTCATATCTGTACCAGTGTGTAATTTCCCTCCATGGCTTTTTCAGTACCTGAACATCTAGTATTATTATTTTGCACAATGCGTATTGGTTAGTGCTCCAGAAAAGCTGCTTGGCATATCTTCCGCCAGATGTCTGGACATCACAGCAGTGAATGCAGCCGCTTGAACATGAAGAATAGAGCATCACAAACAATGGCTGTGTCAGAAGGAAAGAAGTCGGAGCAGGATTTACTTTTTATCTGTTTGCCAATCTGTGGAAGCTTTCCACAAACGGCAAACTTACAGGCAGCTGTTTGTAAACAAGTGAGGGGTTTTAATCTTACTGTGATCCTGAATGATCGCATTTCTTCTTGTTGACATTATCAGAAACTTAACATTCCCCTGTATTTCTCTGGCGCAACATGCTTATTTTACTTGGCTTTGTTGAAGCATTTATAGCATTTTCAGTATTTTGTTATGTCACTGAAAAGGATAAAGCTGTGTTGTGAGCCTTTATTTTGGAGTTCAGTTTGACAAAATAATTGAGCTTTAACTCCCTCTAGTGATCAATATGGAAAGAGCAGCAAGAAAAGTACAGTATGTAAGTAATGCAATGCAGAGTAGTAGCACAGTAATAATCCAGTCTGGTGTGAGGCGCTGACCATGAAACACAACTTTGCTTCATCTCTCTATTGTCAGCTACCTAATAAAGGCATAAAATAGATGATATAAAAAAGCAATACATAAGTGGGAGAAAAATACACAACTCTGACATTTTGACACAATTTATTTACATCAACATGAAAGCATTTAAAATGTACAGTCAGCCAAGCAGCCACGAGCTACAGCAGCGAGTGGATTTTAGCCTGTATTCTCTTTCTGTGGTGGCACTGACCTCTTGACATAGATAGAATGAATGAGAAAATAAGAAATAACACCACCACCACCAAAAACTGGGATGGGTGGTGGTGGTGGGGACCCACAAAATCTGACCCCCAGATACCCCACCCACTGTTCTGATTCTCACATTATGGACACATCTAGGACAAAGTATTTTTAGAAATATATAGCCTAGTTTTTACTTGAGTCTGTATTGGATGATTTATTTAGTTTTTTTTATCAGTTTTATTATAATTTGCCTGATCCATCTCTGCTGCTAAAGAACACGGCCGAAAGTAGACTATGTGTTTTTTCTTTATTTAAAGCCGAAGCTACTGCCCATGTCATACATGTTTAAAAGTCCTTTTCGCACCAGAACAGCACACACACTGAAAGATAAGCAGCATGCAGTAGCCCATAACAAGAAGCAAAATTGACGGTTAGTGGGGAAATGGGCTCTGACTAATTGATTCACAGCTTGTTGTAATGCTGGACAAAAAGGACAATCTACACCAAACACGATAAATAGAAAGAACAGAATAAACATCTGTGGGTATTTTTACCTTTCTTTCTCAAAGAGATGGCATTTATTTGCACTACTGTGCTACTGTGATGCTGTTTACCCTCTAATATGCTGTATTTCATTCATTCTACATCACAACACTGACTTTGTCCTCTTCTCACCGTTCATTTGTTTTCATCCCCCTCTCCCGGTCAGAATGTGAATGCCAACCCGCGGCCCACCGCCCAGGACCTGGCTGGTTTCTGGGACCTGTTGCAGCTCTCCATCGAGGACATCAGCCTCAAGTTCGACGAGCTCTACCATCTCAAGTCCAATGACTGGCAGCCCGTGCCGTCTGCGGCTGCCCAGTCGCCCCCTGAGCGGAAGGTACTTCCCACCCCTGCTGCCCAGTGCCCTGGCTGGGGTAGGAAAGCCGCCGAAACCGGCCTCTCTCCTCCCACCACCACCACCATTTCTCCCACTCTTTTTTACCTCCTGTTTCGACTTCCCCTGTCCCTGCGTGGGATGAACTCATTTAACAGGGTCTCCCTGTGCAATATAAAGGGGCCAGAGAGATCCCTTTAGGCATGCATGGAAAGCTTCATCTCAAAGAGGGCTGTTGTTGGTGTGCGTTTTAAATGTAAAGCCCTGCTTTGAGCATGCATGTGTCACTTGCTGCTGTGTGTGTTGCAGTGGAGCATGGCTAAGATGCACTGGCTCATGTGACCAAATGCAGTCTTGCTGTTGCTCCTTCTCTGTTTAAACGTCTTTTCTTGTGTTTGTGTGTCTTGGTCATTGTTTCTAGCCGTCTCTCTCTCTCTCTCTCTCTCTCTCTCTTGTCTGTGATGTGCCTTTTGTATGTTTTTGTGTGTGTTTTAAGTTTATGAATCTTAACTGCTGATGCACTCTTGGTTTATATTGCTTTGCAATGCAAATGCATTGACGGTGTGTCTGTGATCCTTTTTTATTGTGCTTTAAGTTTGATCCAATGTGCCCATTAATTCATGTTACCATTTCATGTCTTTGAAATTTGTCATATAAATTTTTCTCAGTGTTTGCCTGTTTTTACCAGTTGTCTATCCGTCAGTGTTTTTCTGTTTTATCACCTACAACCACTAAATGTTATTTCAAGCTTTAACAAAAAACAATCAGCATATCAGCATAATGTCTTTGTCAAAGTCCTGTCTGCTAAACCTGCCTAAACTAATGGAACCTCTTAAACAGTTTATACATTACATTATCTGACTGTCCTCCATCTGTCTTTCCTCTCTTCTCTCTCTCCTCCTCTGTCTGTTTCACCGTTCCCAACATTACAGGACGAGGAGAAGGTGGCCCCTCCAGCTTCAAAGAAGCCCGGTAAGGGACGGCCATTGCTGGGCCGCGAGAAGAGTGCAGACTCCTCATCCACCTCTTCCTCGGCCTCGGCAGAGAAGCAGAGACAAGAGGCTCGAAAGCGTCTGCTGGCTGCTAAAAAGGCGGCCTCGTTTCGCCAGAACTCCGCCACAGAGAGCGCAGACAGCATCGAAATATATGTCCCCGAGGCCCAGACTCGCCTCTGAGAGAAACAGTGAGAGGGAAGTATATGGGGTCGAATCAAAGATGTCACCGGGAAAGAGGGGAGAAACTTTTCCGATGCAAAAGAAATACTCTGAATAAAGATGGATTTGGGGGGCGACGGGGGGCAGATCAGATTCTTAGCAATTGGGGTGGGGGTGAATTTTGGCATTTTTGACACACACAGTTATAGGCTGGTCCTGGTGGCATCAAACACTACTTAACAAAACAGAAACTTCTGTGGACCCTACAGACTACGAAGCAGGGGACTCCTCATTTGAGGCTGCCATTGAAAACCTCAGCCGATGAACTTTGTCATTTCTTGTTACTACTCTTGATATCATACAATTATTAATGACGGTATTGTTATTATGATGATTATATCCTAAAGAATCTATTTGAAGACTGTTTTAAACATTCCTCTATCTTGGCTATAAGATCTATTAAGTGGACAGAAGGCAAACATTAATGCTCTTCTATCTCCCATCATCTTCTTCCCAGGTCACTGGCCATCTTGTAGCTTTGCACAGCACCACCTTGTGGCCATCACACACGCACTGCACACACCACAAACTATACAAACACCTATGTACGTCTTCCTTGTATTTATTTGTTTACTTAATCATATTTGTTTTGTATAAAAATCCATTTAGATCTGTTTATGAATATTTTTGGTATGATGAAAGTGAAAGTCAGATTTGAAAGGGTATTTATATTGTTCCTAGCAATTAACTCTTGTCTGTGTGTGTGTGTGTGTATGTCTTGTGTCATACATTTTAAACACTGGGGAGAATCTGTAAAGTTTAGGTTTTTTTAATGGTTTTGAATGAAAGCACATTGCGATAATTATTGATGACCGAGCATGAGGATCTCAATTTCAGACAGAGTGTTTGTGGCCACAATATTACAGTTTTGTTTTTTGTAGGGAAGTCTTCTATTCATTTTAGTCTCTTTTGCTTCACTCTGTCCCATTAAATTTGTTTTTCCATGTTTGTGCTGTAACTCCAGATATGTGAATATTTCAATCAGGATTTGTGTCCCATCTGTCTGTTTAATGCATCTTTAAGTGCTTTTATTAATCTCACTTAGCATTCAACTCATATAATCTAGGGCTTTTATTGAAGTAATGCTGCAGGTTGAGCATGCAGGGTATTGTTTGTGGGGAGGCACATTAGGACATGTGTCTTGCTGTTATTTTTATACTATGTTTCCAAAAGCATTCTGATTTTATTTTGCCTCCCATCACTCAACAAAATCAGTTTTACTTCTTTACTACCATTATTGTTTCTTCTCATTGAACATCATCCAAAAAAAGCTGCACTTTTTTTATTCAAAGAAAAAAATATTTAATTAAAGCATTGCATACATTAGTCATTGTGTTTTCATCGTTTATTAAATGCTGCTTGCTTTTTTTGTCATGGAAGACTGCATAAGCCAAAGATGAATTCACTGTTTCAAATTCATCTCATGTATTTAAATGTCAGCAGCAGGGAGCTGAACAGTAACAGGGCTTACTGTGAAATTAGATGGAGTGGATTGTAGCTACAGCCCCGTACGTGTTACAAGTGTAACATTTTGATATGCACACGCCCCGAAGCTTAACCAGAACTGCCTATCGCTGCAACAATACTGAGTGATTTGCTTTGGAGCGTTCAGGACCAGGACCCTCCCCCTTCTCAGCCTGGAATCTCACATTTTGGAAAGTTTGAAAAGTGACCTCTAGAGGGCAACAGTGGTTAACTTCCAATCCAAGATACAGTACATTGTAATACACTGTGTTTACACACAATGGGAAGGTATTTGCATTATAAGACAACATTCAGCCCTGCCCTGTATTGCATTAAGGGGAAACATTGTGTGGATTGCACGTACTACCAGACTCCCCCGTCTCACTTGAAGATTTCCCAAAACAAAATTGTCTGAAACAATGCCTGTTTGTTTATGAATTCATGTAGAGAAACTCCAGGATTTCACCCTAGTACAAGTACAAGTACAAGCTAACCATAAAGTCAACCCTGACATGCCTTACATCAACCACAATTGTTTGTCTTTCACTCACATTTGGGTTCTTCCAAATGGTAAGCAAATAAAAACTTCCCCTTTCTAATTAGTTATGTTAAAGCTATCTCAATGTCACACCATTGCTTGGGCAATGCCTCTTTCTCACCCACTGTGAAAATGCAGCCTGAGGCTTTGAATTGGAAAAACCTGATGACCACTATTCATTCTCTATCTTGCCAAGAGCTTTAGTTGATGGCGGCTTTTGTTTGTCTGTTGTGTTTGCCTGTTGGGAATGACTCTCAGCAAGAAAAATGGCTCAGGGGTGTCAATAGCCTGTTCCCTGGTTGTTGTCACTACCCCCCTCCATTTGACTGGGGTGGATAGCATTGTTAGCACATGAAGGCCTTTTGTGTGACTCGAACTCAGCCTTTTAGCTTGATTTGATTTCTGACTGCCAGGAAAAATTTGTGTGTCTGAGTGTTTTCCTGAAATGAGGTGTGGTGTCAATATAGGTGTCTCCCAGTTTTCCACAACTTCAAGACAAATTCTTATTGGCTCATTTTTAATGATCTCTGTGTGTTGGATAGTGAATATTGACAAAAAGTCTTAAGAGGGAAAAGCAAACAGGCTAGCTTGAAGGCAATATAAATGCAGCATCTAGATTTAAATATATTTCCCATATGCAACCACTGCCAGAATATTTTTAACCTTTAAAAACAAGTTCACAACATATAATTTCCATTTTTCCCCCCGTTTGCCATATTTTCAGGCCCAAACCCTGCTCTCACCATTCCTCACGCAAAAACTGTAGGTCTGTGCCTGACATGAACGCAGATCAAAGAAATGTGGCATCTCAAATGCGCTGAGGGCAGGAACATAGAGAAAGTTGTTCTATCATCCAACCATCACAAAATGAAAGGCAGCAATTTTCCAGCACGCTTAAACGTGGGATGTATAAAATGCCAAGAGATGTCGGTGACATACTTGAGGAGAGAAAAGAGAGTTCGTCTCATACATTTAAACAACGCTTCTCTCCAATACACACAGATATCACTGGGACACACCTAGGTCTCTTTCCTGGGTAGGGTTATTCATGATCCAAACAGCTGCACTGTGGGGGGGTTTGTGGCTGTAAAGCCATTGATTTGGGGGTGATAATGATCCCCATGTAGGCTTGATGGCTTTGACCTTTTAAAGTCTAAACTGTCATACATATTACAATTGCTTAAGCAGCGGTCTGTTTTGGAAAAACTCCAATCCAACGCTGCACTTTTTAATGTGCCTCGTTCAGTTGGTATGTTATCATCCATATATGAGGGGAGAAAGCAATAGTTTAAATGTAAAGCAACAGGAAGGAAAATGTATCACAATGTGGCTGTGGTCAAAATTGTACTTTATCTTCTGTGATACCAATGTACCCCCCAACACACGCACTTTATTTAAAATGGGTTAGATGTCCTTACACATTACATAAAGTTTAGCTACCCTTTAAGATTCTTCTTTGTATTTGCCCCTTTTTCGAAGACAGTGAGAAAAGGTTTGATCACTAGAGGCTACAAGAGACGGACAAAGAAAAACTGTTTAATCCCAGGAAGAGAGTATACCTCAGCTTGGATACCAGTGAATCCACTCCCAGACAGTAGTCCATAGGCATGCTTGCAAAAAAAATAAAACCAAGCTCATTAGCATTTCTGCTTTGTTCCACTAAGTTGGGCATAAAACTGGGAAAAGGGATGAGGGGGCAGAAACTATGCTGTTACCGCAAGAGATATGATATAGCAAAAAGTATCTGTATAAATACTAGAATAAATATTTTATGAAACAAGCACATATTTTAAAGAATAGGATATGTTCAGTATAGTCCATAGGCTGTGTGTATGTTTGTGGGGTTTAGTATAAAAGAGTTGTATTGTTTGAGGCAAAGTTGAGAGCGAGTGGGTCTGTTCTGAGATTTAACTAGATTATTGTCATTATACTCTGGTAACATTTTAAGTATATGTGCAATACTGAGTAAAAAGGGTTCTTTGATATTAAGATGAAACTAATAATCTTGCATTTCTCCCCCTGTGCTTCTTAAAGTCGTCCTCTGTAAATAAGGGAAAAAATACAGACTGAAAATGTTAATCTTTTACAATGCTGTAGATCTATTTATACTATTTCAAGGTTGTTCAGATGTATAATGGAGAAATGTAACATTCAATAAAATGCACACAATACTTTCTCAAAAAGTTCATCATGGATGTATTGGCTTGCTTTGTAGCTATTTGTTGACTTATTAAGAACAAGATGATTCAGTTTGTGGCTGTCATTTTGGTTTCAAATACTATTTTTAGAGACAGTACTGCAAATAGCTTGTTTTTGTTTTAAAACCTGTTAGTTTTTACTTAACTTCTGTTTCAATCACAATGTATTTGTTGTTTTTTTGCTTTGCCCAGCCTCAGAGCAGAAATAATGACAGAAGGTGTGGGCTATTTGGACACAACACTGAAGGCTTACGTTTAAATGGTTACACCAGGTAGACTGCAATTTTGTATTGTGGTAAACTCATTTGTAAATCTGAACTCCCGCTCATTTGGCCGAGGGAATCAAAGCACCCCAACACCTCTCTGCAACAACACTCACAAGCCTGTAGTCAAACACATCGTAGAGTCCATGTCTACATGTCACTTTAGAAATCACTCCAGACAGTGTCAGTAAAGTACTTGGTTAATTATATTATAAACTGGCCACATGCGGTTACTAGTCGACGCTTTCGAGCGTTTCTGATTTATGTAACAAGAACATTTTGCTCAACGTTACGTAAAGCCTTTCCACACAATGTTGCTGTCTCCGGTACACACGAATATAAAACGACCAGAATGGTTAAAAAGATTACACCGTTGCTAAATATACAATAACATGTGTCTATAGTACCGTGGGGGTTTTAACCTTGTCGAGAAAATAACATTGTTTCAAAGACTGCGCTATACTTTGAATGAAATGGTTCTCCCCTCAGCCACAATGACACGGAGCCTGTCTGCTGTCTAGCGGAGCGCCGTGATTGGCTAACGACACCCCAGGAGGCGTAATAGAGGTCCGCTATTGGCTGACAGCTGTTGATGAGGCGGGATCATTTCAGCGGCGACTGTCAAGATTGGCAAAGAGCTACGTGCAGGTAAAAGGAACAAGCGACACAAAACAGAAAACATTTATCCTGGCAGAAAGCGAAGCGTGCGATGGAAACAGACCGTCCGGTGAAACCTTTTCGTGCGGCAGAACCTCAAAGGCGACGCGTTTAAGTCGGTGAAAGAGGAACAACACCTTCAGCTTCTTGGAAGAAAGTGCTGTTGTGTCAACCATCGCTTGACTCCCGGGGCACGCTTTGTACAGCAAGAAACTTGGACAGCTGCGCGTTTTCAAGCAAGCCATCAACAAAGAATGAAAGCATTCAAACGAGGTGAGCACACGTCGTGTTTTATTATATATTTTTTATGTCCCTACCCTGCACGTTTTAACTCCCAAAGTGTGTGCCTGCGAGTCCGCCGTGTCTTTGCTGTTGGTTTTGCCTGGTATGCGGGCTTTTTGTTGCGAGCAAATGCAGCGTGTGTTTGTGTTTAAATTTGGAGGGACAGCTAGCCAGCTAGTTATCTCTGGAGGCAGGCATGGTGTCCATCTGGCGGAGTGACATGCGGGAGGCTGTGCTTTCACGCCTGCCTCCTTTGTGCGCTCCAGATGGCTAATTTACCGAGTATCTGCTCAGTTTGTCTTGTTTGAATGTCACATTCTGCATTATCCGAGTGGCTTTATAGTGTGTGTCGTTTCACTTTGAGTATGACGCCATCCCCCTTCGACAAAGCGAGCTGGTCTTAAAAGTGGATGTTTGATGTGTGGTGGACTGGCTTTGCTAACGGTCAGATTCAAATCCTTACCTCGGTGTGAGTGTGTTGTGAAGTTTAGTTCACCGTTGAGCTCCCAAACTTTGATCTGAGGACCATTTGGCCTCGTGTTTAAAGAATAGGCAGAACACTAGAAACACTTTCCCGAGGCAGAGATTTACCAGCTTGAATGTAGTGTAAAAATTTTCACTGCTTGTGAGATGTAACATGTTGCTGATGTGACATACTAACATCTGTCTTAAATCTGTCTTGGCTGTTTTTTATTACTAAATTAATCCCATATTGAGTGGGTGTTAGATAGATATATCTAGTGACAAATGCATATCCAATGATCCAGTGGAGTTGAGGGAATGCAACTTTGTTGTGGGCCTCATGTTCTCTCACAGAGGTTGTTATTAGAAAAAAGGATAACCTGAGATGTCTTGTCAAGCATGAGTGTGGCTAATGCACGGGAGGCTGATGGTGGGGAGGTGTGGAGTATTTCTAGACCCAGTTAGACCAAATCAGACTTAATTTAACCCATAAATTGTTTAAAATGTTTCTCTATTCTTTAAAGAGCGTGACAAACTAATACTTAATCGAGATATTTGCTAAAAAAACATTAATTTGGACAGAATTTAGTCCAGAATGACATATCTGTACATGAATATCGTGATAAAAATGGCCAATCCTACTGTAACATGTGATTTTATAGGTGTAAGGGGAATTTAGTTCATCAATAGAAATTGGTGTGGGGGGGTGCACATAATTTGCATTTGTAAGTTTTTAGTCCCACCTCCCACACACTTTTCTAACTTGATTTAGGGCTTCCCTTGTTGTTGTCGAGGAATGCAGTATTCAAAAGATTTGTCAACTGCTCCAGCAGTCATCAGCCGAACTGGCATGAGGTGAAAACGGCCTCCTTTGCATGGTCAATAGGTTCCTGGGCCACTGGCTACTGTGATGTTGATATGCACACAATCTTCTTTGTGAAGACAGGCGCTGCCCCGGGGGTCAGGTTTCACCCAGCCACAGAGAAAGACATTTACTGCATTCTGTGGCCCACCCCTGGGATCAGGCATGCTCCATTTTGAGGGGATTTCTCTCCCCATTTCTCTCCAGTGGCCAACCATAGACTGACAAAAATAAATAAAAATACACACCCACAACAAAGTTCAAACCACAAAGCCAGTGTTTTAAACATGTTCAGCCCACGATGCTTTAAATTGGCTAAAAATAGGAGGTTAAAAGTAACTGATGCGGTTTGTGCACTTGTTCACTGCTCAAGTGTTAAATCTGTTTCTTGATTTTTGCCGGCCTTTCTCAGTCCACATGGCTCTTATTATTGTGAAAAAAATAGTTTAGGTTTCATATAGTGCGTAAAAGTGGATTAAACACCCTTTTTGCAGAAGCCCGGGTGAGTCTAGAGCTATTAATGTGAGATGGAACCATTATCTTCTCCCAAATTATATATGACAAAACTAGGCCGCACAGGAAACCAACACTTTGATACCAGTTGACTAGCAGATTTGATGTAAGCAGGTTTCCTGAATCAGTAACGGTGAACGTGACTGACTGCTTCCCCCCTCCTCCCTCCCCTCAGCTCTGGAAGAAGAGCATCGCCCGGAGCAGGAGCACTCCTCGGCTGTGTCGGACAGTGATGACGGCTCCCCGCTCGACCTGTCGGGAAGAGGGCTGTTTGGGAAGCGCCGTCGCCGCGGCAACCTGCCCAAGGAGGCGGTGCAGATTCTGCGGAGCTGGCTGTACGAGCACCGCTTCAACGCCTACCCGTCGGAGCAGGAGAAGCTCAGCCTGTCGGGCCAGACCAACCTTTCTGTGCTGCAGGTATGGGGTAGATTTTAATTTATTTGAGTTGAGAAATTCATCTAGTTTGTGACACTTTCTCACTGTCTTTTCCATTTGTTTATTAAGGATTATACATAAAAATCACAGGTTTCACTTAAATGCAGTGCTTTGTTTATTCCATTTGAGATTTTTGTAAAATAAGCAGTGCTTTAGGAGGCTTTGACCCTGAACACACAAACTCGTTTTTACATTTATAAAGCCCTGAAGCAGGTGGGAGCAAATCTTTAAATTCTTCTTGTAGCTCAAAGGGTAGGCCAATCTAGTCATCTATTTTCACTTTAAATTCTGATGCTGCACACCACAAAGGTGTTACAAGTAATGTCCTAACACCTTTACATGATCCATTCTCTTGTGCTATTACTTTCCATTTTACATAACAGTAATTCTTATTTTTATCAACGCGTTGTTTTTGTCACCAGCTTTTCATCAACATATTGAACAAGTGAAAGCACAACAATAATCACCACACTTGTTCTGCTGAAGAGGGCATTTTCCCAGCCTTTTCCTTTTTCACTTCATTGCACCAGTGGTAGACATTTCCTCTTTTCCTCTCAACACACTGGCACGCACAAACACACAGGCCGCATTAGAGAAGGCATTACAGATCAGCATGAGGCGGCAGCAGAGTTTCTTGTTATGTAGTCAGTTCACTGGAATGCCTTTGGCTGGCTTCTCTGTGGCTCAGCATATTTGAGCTCAGCCCTTCATTATTGCCAGCTGTCTGAGGGCTCTCATCTCTTGTCTGTCTCACTCCTTCTTCCTTGTGTGGGAGGCTGTACCACTAGAGGGGGGTAAGTAAGGCCTCGTATACAAATGTAGATGAAGAAAAATGTGTAGGCGGCTGTTAAAATAACAGTCCTCAGATGTTTGGGGGGGTTGGGTTGTGTTGCAAGGGTCAAGTTGTGGATCTAGTTAACTGAGATGTGTCTGAAGCTGTCAGGTTCTATTTTTATCTTATTATTTAAGAAAAATGTCCTCGTAACCTGTTACTATCAGTTCCATTTATTCCAGAAATTCCCCCTCTTTTCCCAGATATGTAACTGGTTCATCAATGCACGCCGCCGCCTCCTCCCTGACCTACTTCGCAAGGATGGCAAAGATCCCACCAAGTTCACCATCTCCCGCAAGGTTGGTGGTAAAAGTGAAGGCCACTCGTCTAATGGAGGCGGAGCCAGTTCTCCAGAAAGCAGCTCTTCTACCGGCTCATCTCAACAACGCCCATCGGTCATCCGCTCTGCCCCTACGTTGGACCTCAGTCTTCTTGGGAGCACGGCAACAGCAATTCTGACAGGAGCAGGGTACCCTGGTAAGGAGGGATCGGTCCAGGCGTTGATGAGGCTGGACACGCAAAGACTGCTGAGAGAAGCAGAGGAACAGGGTGCGTGTCTCACCAGCACAGCAATGGCAGCTAGCCCCACCAGTGGCTTCTTCAACACACCTCCCCCGACTCCCCCCGAGCTCTTCCCTACCCAGGACTTCAGCGACTTGAGGCTCCTGGTCGACGCAGCTCTGCAGAGGGCAGCAGAGCAGGAGAACCTGAAGAGACTCCAGGAGAGCCAGAAGAGACCTACAGAGGCTGTAAAGACTGAACAGGTGGAGGCACAGTGCAGTGCTTACAGCAGTGACATGGGACCCACGCCGCCTCCAGAGGACAGCCAACAAGTCATGGATGCTTCCACGGTGCAGAGTCTGATGGAGAAGGCTATGGCTGCTCCAGTGTCAGTTGCAACTCCAGTAAAGGATCCCGTGCCTCTATCATTACCAGCCTCTGTACCAGTCCCAACTACAGTGTTGGTCTCAGCACCCAGACTGTCTCCTCTCACGATCAATAAAGTCATCTGGAGCCCCTTGGAGGAGGACACTGTCAGAGCCTCCAGCCCAAACCAGTCTCCGCTCCTCCCAGCTCATCTGCCAACCTTAGTGCCAGTGTTAGGACGGCCGAATTCTCAGAAACCTGCTTCTGCTCCAGCCCCAAGCTCAGTACTGGCCCCACTGCCCACTACAAGTCCTACAAGTGCACCAGCTACAAGGCCAGTCTCAGTGCCGTCACCAGCTCTTCTCCCAGCCACAAGTTCCACATCTGTCACCGCTCCAAGCCAGGCTTCTTCCCACACTGCAGCCCTTGTTTCAGCTGCTCCTTCTCCAACCATCACCTCCTTTACAGCCCCCAAAGGAATCCCACTTTACCTGCCGTTCCACAAATCCCCCTTAATCCCAGTCACAGTTCCATGTCCATCACCGGTGTCAACCGTGGAGTCATCTCCAGCCCCTGTACACACCCCAGTCTTTGCCTCTGCCCAAACTCCAGCTCCTCTCCCCGCCTCAACCCCAACATCCTCCTCTACACCAACAAGTACACCTCTTCCGGGATTGGCTTCCCACCTCACTACTCCTCCTCTTCAGCCCTCCACAAGCAGCAGCAGTATTAGTAGTAGTGCGCAGAGGAATTCAGCAGTGGTTCCCAGTGTTTGGAGCATGGTCCATACTGATACCAGGCAACCCAGTTCTCTTCAAGTGGACTTCAAGACCCCCATCACCACAGTGTGGGGCCCGCAGCACAGCCTGCATGCAGTGAGTGAAACTGTTAACTAGTAGCTGGAAGTTGGCCCCTTTTTAAAAAAATAAAAAATAAAAAATTTATATATATCTGGGGAGGAGAGAGGCCAAACATTCCCTTTGGCTGGACAACACTGTATATAGGAGAATGTATCGTCATCAGCAGTCCCTTGTTTGTCATTTAAAGCATGTGCCTGCAGAATACAGGGAATGAAATGTGTGAGCTGGGACAAACACGAGGGGTTACAGAGACTTGCTGTTTCAAGCAACTTTTTATTGTTTAAATATGCGGTTCTTGATGGAGGCACCTGCTGGTGAGAACACTTTGATGCCATTCCTCGAAATGAATTCCTCAGTGCTGAGTATTGTACAACGCTTTCCACATTACGGTTTATGAATGATGAAAAATGAAATGAAAAAAACATCCCTTAATTGTGCTAAATGTCAGTTGGTGTGATTTTTAGCACCAGCAGTTAGCCTCTTCAGTAGCAGTACTGGACTTTATTGAATGTACAAAAGACATTGATATCAATGGCCAGGCTGCCTATTACCTATTCCCCTCCATGATGAAAAGGAGGACAACATCATAGTCCTCTATAGTTGTGCAATTCAAATGGTTTTTAAAATATTATTTAGCCTGTTATTTACTTCACTACATTTCCCCTTTTTTACTTGGAGATGAGCACAAGGGAAATTGATTGTACTGCAGCGAGCCTGACTGATTGACTCGCCTCTATCACTCCTTGTCTTCCTGTCTTATGCCCTGCCTGTAGTTAAGGGACTTCATCGGGCCTCATGAGTTGTCCACTCAACTACTTGACCCATGCTCTCACGTAGCACGTAATTTGTTTGCCATTTCCAATCTATAAAAACAATCAGTATTTTCTGCGCTTTCACTGGAAACTAAGCAGATATGTTTTGTTACTTTATGCGACCTCGATCCGTTGTGTACAGTTTTCAGGGATTGTTTTTGAGGGGGAGGGCTGTGGATATAGGATGAATGGGAGAAGGTCACTTTGGATATGTTACAGAAATCAATTTCAGTGGAGAGGTGAGCAGCTTGGTGATCTGATGACATGACTCTTGCAGCTCCTCAAATGAAACATTACACTTGCTGTAAGACATGGCGCCTTCATCTCTTGTGGTGCCAAACACTTTAAATGTTGGATCCTCTTAATTTAAGGGGGTGGGCGTGGGGAGCATATAAATTATCCAGATTTCCCTGTCGAGTTGGGGCCTTAAGATTTAGTCAATGTATTTCAAACCTGAATGTCTTATTAGTGGAAAAATAAATTGATGCGCATAGTGTCTTGGCAAAAGCAAATGTAGCAGATGTACTGAAATTTGTTGGGGTCATTTTCCCAGGAAGGTACAGGAGCATAAAAATCAAGTTATTCTACATCAACGCTTTCCGCCTGTGTTTAGAAATGGTTTCTATAGAATTTCTAATCATTCATAAGCTTTAGTTTCCATGAAACTGTCTTAGCATAAACCACAATATGTGGCTGAATGCCATCTGGACATCTAGTAACAGTAGCATCATGTGGAAAAGTTCCTATGTGAATAATACTATAGCAGAATTGGGAGTCCAATCTCCAGTACTGTCATGTTTATCAGTGTCATTGAATGGTGCTTGGTTCTGTTACATTTAGAGAAGACAAAAGGAGAAAAGTTGGTGTTGTCAGATAACTGCTGAACACTGACCCCATCATCCCCATAAAAACATATCTTGTTCATGGCAGAAGTGGGAACCCCAACTCTCCTTGTATTTCCGCTCCTCACTGCCAGTTCTGCTCCGTGGTGAGGATTTTGTTTCTGGGGTTTTCTTGTGTTACAGGTACTCACTCGATTGATGTGCATTTATACCTCAATTTACACAGGTCATGTCAGGCTTGGGTCATATGTAGAATACTAAGTATTAAAGTAATATTTTTATTTTTCATACTACATCATGCCACTGTGACAACACCTTATCTGTTGTGATACTGGAAATGGCTGGTTAAAGATTAGGCAGGCAGGTCTTTTTCTTAAAAATATATATATATATAGCAAGGTTTGTGATTTTTAGATGCAAAGTGGCGCTCCAATCAGAGACAAAGTGATGATGCATGTAAATATTTTCAAGGTCATGTTTCCATTTTTTGTTTTGTTTGTATTGGCATGAACTTTATCTCAAACTGTAGTTTCTTTATAGCCAAATGCAGTCAAAAATGTTTTTGAAGCTCATGTTGTGAATCATGACTGACCGTTGGCAGTATGGCTGACGGCTGTGCCTTAAACCCACAACTGAGGGATAATGTCCCTTTTTTTTTTTTTTTTGTTTTTATATATATATAAAAACTTCTCAATAGTCTGTGCAATATATGCCTTAAACTTTAAATGTGTTTTTGTATAAGCATTTCAAAGAAATAAAAGTTCAGTTTTTCATAAATGTGGTTTCTCCTGTCTGTAATTGCCCATAAACGATAGCGAAAAGTTTTATTTTGATAAATTTAGTCAGAATAACCACATTGCATCATAATGGATATTAAACCCCTTGAAAACATTTTCTCAATTACCCTCTTACAATAGTCTTATTTCTCATGGAAGACATTTTGACTTGTCACAGTAGCGCCCAGGTATTGTGCATGCTGGCACACAGTCACGTCTTACTGGGACACTTAAATTGGACATAGCAATTACTAATGTTATGACAGAATGTCAGTTGTGAAAAAGACCCATGATACAACACTTAACACACGTTCCAACGTTCAAATGGTTTTGGTTATTTCACAGGAAACATTTATGTTTTGTCTGAGCCTTTCTCCAGGGATCAGTGGTTTTGTGTACTATCAGGATTTATAAATATTTGAATCCAAATCTGATAGCAGTTGATGGGTTGTTTGACTACCGTCAATCAAATGTGATCAAAATCACACCGACACAGATCAAGATGAAGCACATAAGAGATCAAGACTGTGAAGCTCTCAAAGGCTGATTTTTCCAAACTTTAACTTTGTTTATTTAATATAAAGTTTTGAGGCACTTTAAAGCTTGAAGTATACTTTAAAAAAGCCACAAAATAATTTATTAAACTTCCAAATGTCAGATAATGTCATAGTGGAATTTCTGTTTTCAGAGTGATGGACCAGATAAAAGTTGCACTGCACTAATGCTGCACGCTTTAGCTAATTTACTACAAATTGTGGTCACATTACTTCCAAATATTTTGTCTTTATTATTTCAAATTGATGCATTACTTTTGTCTTCAGTTTATCAGTACTTGCAGTAGTGAACATTTAGTTATGTTAACATTGCAAAGCATGTAGTTCAAAGTAAATGTTTTGGAAAAATATCCAGGTTAGTGCACACATACAGCTCAGACTTCAGAGTCCTTTGGAAAATGGCAGCAATGTAAAGTACAGTACACTGCTGATGATTTAAGCATGTGAAGAAAGTAGGAGACATATGGAAACAGTGACTACTTAAACACCCCATCTACACTTTTGACGGTCAACAGTATGAATAAACGTACATTTATTTGCACAATGAGCAATTTCAAGACTGAATTCCTTCAGCAACAAGACATACTTGATCCTTCAAAAAATACACACAGCCAGCTGATGGGAGGAAGATATGAGTTCAGACTGAAAGCTCTCGCAACCATTTCATCAAGTGGAAGTACTCGCCACATTTAATAAACACAGTCAAGAAAGATCACTTCTTTTTATCCATTTACAACATACAGGGATGCACATATTACAGATAAGGAGACTTGTGGCAGTGCTTGTGCAGGTGTGATGGCTAACTGGCAGGAAGAGGTAAACATTGCTGGTACTCTTATGAAGCACTGAGTCTGGCATTCCAGCCCCCGCACACATACATGATGTTTGATACATCTCAGAAGTTCAACCGGGTTCCCTGCAACAATCTAAAAAAGGTCACTTCCATTCAGAGTGGCCACAGTGGACGTGCCTCTCTTCATGGAAACCTTCAATGATGATACAAGTTGAAAAGTAGTGTATTGCAAAATATTTTGTTGGATCCCAAATGAATCCTGAGCTTCTACCTTTCATAAACTTGTAGATCTAAATAGAAGCAACACAATGGCAATTTCTGCCCTTTTATAAAAGACTTTGATACCGGTATTTAGCCTACTATTCTTACTTAATTTCTCTCTACAAGGCCCAAAGGTAGGAACTAGGGACTGATTTGTGGTGCAGTATGTGTGCGGGGGCCAGGTGCTGTCGGTCCCTCCCTCTACTCGTCATCCTTGTCTTTGGCGCCGTGTTTGAGGATGCGGGTGAACTCTGCGTAGTTGAAGTTGCCCTTCTTGTCGATAGGCGCCTCGCGGAACAGCTCGTCCACCTCTTCATCTGTGAAGCGGTCGCCCATGGTGGTCAGCAGCTCCCTCAGATGGTCTTCGTGGATCACGCCTTGGATACAGATAGCATACATGAAGTGGGAGATAAAGTTCCAAAACATTGACAGCGTGAGTGCCATGATGTTGTTTATATTGACTCACCAGATCCCTCCTCATCAAAACAGGCAAAGGCGTTGCGGATGACATCCTCAGGGTCCGTTCCGTTGAGCCTCTCTCCAAACATGGTGAGGAACATGGTGAAGTTGATGGGCCCTGGTGCTTCGGCCATCATCCCCTCCAGGTATTCGTCAGAGGGGTTCTTACCTGAGGAGGGGTCATCACTGTTAAAATGCATCTACTTTTTCTTCAGACTAAAGCACACAAGGACGTGTTTATTTATGACTGTCCAGAAGAAGAACCCTGTTTCTATAAACACATTTTTATGTAAAAAATAAATAAATAAAGAATTCAAGCCAGACAGTTTTGATGGAATCTTTCTGAGCCATTTATCTTAAATTGTTTTTTTTTTATTTAATTTCCAAGTAAAACATGGAAGAGAGACTTTTTTTAGAGAATGTATAGTTTCAGAGCCCAACCCTGATGAGGTCATTAGGGTTATCTCAGTTTTCCCTCCGGCTCTTACCGGAGCTACAGAATATATTATACAGCTGTTCACAGGTTGAATAGTACTCCTCATGATGATACTTATCATGACTATAGTATATTCTGTATAATCTTCAATTGGAAAATAAGAGGAGTGCCCCTTTGCAGTCCCCCCTAGTGTTGTATTTCTGCTTTCTGCACTTGTAGCCTTAAATAAAGGAAGTGTTGCAAGAACAAGCGTTTGCACCCAGCGAGGCCAGCATGTCGTGCAGATCCTCCTTGTCAATGAAACCGTCTCTGTTCTGGTCAATCATGTTGAACGCCTCTTTGAACTCCTGGATCTGAGACTGGTCAAACATGGCGAAGACATTGGAGGTGGCCCTCTGAGGGCGCTTCTTGGTGGTCTTTCCCTTGGCACGCTTGCTCGACATGGTGGCGGCTGGATCTGGGCCT